GAGTTGCAGGGTGATATGGCTGCTGAGTACTTTGAATACTTCAACAAGCCTCATACTTCCACAGCCCTTCGTTCGCCAAGTCCACCTCATCTTTTAAACCTGAGTCTCTCCCAGTCTACCTCTCCTTTAAACCTGTCTCTCCCAGTCCGCCTCACTTTTTAAACCTGTCTGTCTCTCCCAGCCCACCTCACTTTTTAAACCTGTCTCTCTCTCCTAGTCCATCTCTCCTTTAAACCTGTCTGTCTCTCCCAGCCCACCTCACTTTTTAAACCTCTCTGTCTCTCCCAGTCCGCCTCTCCTTTAAACCTCTCTGTCTCTCCCAGTCCGCCTTTCCTTTAAACCTGTCTCTCCTAGTCCAACTCACTTTTATAACCTGTCTGGTCTGCTCCGAGAGGGCGAGAAGCCAGTCCTGGCCCCTGCTACACTTTCTCCCTGCCTCCGCTGGCGAGAGGCGGACGGCTGAGAGTTTAAGGAAGCGGAACGCTGCATTGTTGTTTTAACGGGAACCACTCCTCGGCTTTGTCTCGTTTAATTGAGCCTTTGTGCACAAGCGGAAGCCGGCGGGATTGTGCGAGGGGATCAAGCCAGGCCATTAATGCAGTGCCTGAATGACAAGTGTGCACTTCTGTAGAGGGATTAGCAATAACCGGGCAAGGCAGGGGCTGAGCTGGGGGCGGACAATAAACTGCAGCCTTGGTTTCCCCAGGAACAGTATTATTGCCGGCTTCTCTTTCTAGATTTGATTTTGTTTTATTTCATTTGATGAGCAGAAATGTTAATGGCGGCTGTGCCTGTGCAGAGGGCGAGGAGATAACCCAGGCGTGGAGAGACCTCTTGACGGGTTCTCTTTGTCTTGCATGGGAAGCAGTGGATGTAGTAAATCCCCCCCTAGCTATTACAGGCACGCTGGCTATTTTTCTTTTCTTACCCAGGGATTAAGAGGCGATTTGGCCTTTGTTGCTGCGATTAACCCTGCAGGAATTAACAGACTGCGCTAAGACGGTTCCTGCCAATTTGAATGGCGGTTAGAGAAGGATCAGTCTCTCCGGGGCTCTGTTCTCAGTCCAAGTCAATTAACCCTCCCACCCCCTTCCCAAAAAATGCATGGTCGGAGACTTGGCACGACTTTCAAGAAAAATTCAGTTCTAGTTAGAAACGAGCTAGCTGACAGCAAAATGGCCTGGGTATTATCAGTTGTTTTTATTGGGCTTCTATCCTGAGAAATCCTACATTTGTAACCCAGTTTACACCGCTCTGGTTTACTAGAGGTGAAGTACCTCACTCAAGGATGCAACAGCAGTTTTCCCGCTCAGACCTTCCAGTTGAAACAAGAGTCTAGAGCCCTTACCGCTACTCCACATTGCTGCCTCAGGTATTAGCAGGTATTGTGAGGCAGGTGGGTCCCTGGAGAAGGCCGAACTGATTGCAAGGCCACTGTGAAAACCGCAGGATAAATAGGTTGAACAATGCCAGTGTGTTAATTGATGCACCTGTTTGTCTTTCTAACTTCAGTGGCAATTTGCATTGTCTTGAGTCTGAGGCGGTGCTTCTGTAATGAGCAATAAATGAAGTACAGAAGGAGCACCAGGTTTGGAGGCTGGAATAGTTTGATTCCACATATGTTATTTTTGTAAACCGGTAGCTAGCACTCGCAGTTAGATAAGAAGGAAACCTTCCTCCATTGATTGCTGCCCTTGTCTTTTGCTCTTTTTTCTTTCAGACACACTCAACCTCTCTCCTCCTTTCAGAATCACTGTCTCTCTCCGTCCCCTTTTTCTCTGTCAGTCTCTTTCGCTCTCTATCCTGTCGTTCTGCGATACCCTCTCTCACTCGCTCTCCTGATCCTTCTCTCCTTCTCCCAAATTCACACTCCAATTCAAAGAGCTTTATTGGCATGACCAAGGAATTACAGTGTGGCCAAAGCAGTAACAATCACCCTGAGTGCTTGGTATAATTGAGGCACCAGAGTTCATTATTATCTGGCATGAGCACACCACTGGTAAAGGAATAATAAATCAGAGGCCAACTGAGATGAACAAAAATGTTTATTAAAAATAACACAAACTACACAACTCACAATGAAACATTCAAAATATCCAATTTACAGACAAGACGTCTCAGAGGCCTATGTCTGACCACCCAGAAAAACTCAGACTGCTAGCTTAGTATTCAGAAATCTCATATAACACCTCAAAAAAAGTTAAATCCACATCCTAAATAAAACAGAATACAACCCAGCGATGAATCTCATCTTCCTATGAAAATTCCAGTTGCTCCAAAACTAATGTGAATCTGTCACCCTATTCTAAAAATGCGTCAATATCCAGGAGAGAACGTCTTTAGCCCAGAGATTCCTTATAGAGGAAATTAGAGTTTCCAAAAATAACAGAGTGGCAAGCTCTTTTAAATAAGGCTCAAATACATACTGCCTCTAGAATCTGGTCTTTAAGATTGATTAGAACAAAGTCCTTGCACCTGTCGTGCTTTTTCTCCATATTCTCTGCCTGTTTGTCCTTTTGCTCTTCCTTCTCTCCTTTTCTCTGTGTTTAGTCTCTTATGCTGTCTTTCTGGATGTTGAACTAACTAGAGCAATTCTCCAGAAGGTCCCCTTTGTCCTTTGCCTCTCAGACCACCTCGTCTTCTATCCATTGTTTCTAGATCTGATAATGTTGTTGTTGTTGTTGTTGTTGTTTTTGTTTTTGTTTGAGAGGTTCACTCTATTTCTCAGGATGTAGTAGGAGATCAGCCACATACTAAGCTTACAGCTCTGTTGAGTCCCTGGTTGAAATGATAACCTGTGATTCTAGCAGGTTTGGAATTCTTAGGTTTTAGGTCACTATTTTAAGGGATGAATACTTGTCAAATTCTAATCTCTGTCTCCACTCTTTCCTGCAGTGGGTGCGCAGTCCGTTCTGTCTGGGTAGCCAGGTCAGACTGTGTCACCCAGGTTTCTATGCCCAGGCATATTGTTTGGCTTGTTCTGTGATTTGGTTGACTCTGATTGGTGGTATGGATGTAGTGCTGCCTTGAGTCTGGTTGGTGTGGCTCCAAACCGGGGGCTTCAATACCAGCTGGCTGAGGGGATTCTCTCTCTCTCTTTCTCTCTCTCTCTCTCTCTCTCTCTCCAGTGAAGTGCAGTTGCAACGTCAGCGGGACCAGGCTGTGCAGAGACTGCGGGCAAGGCAGGGGGCACTGGCAGGCCGTCTGTCGGAGACTGCCGCTCTTATCAAGGGGTTCCAGCGGAAAGAGAGGATGGCTGAGGCTCAACGCTACGTGGAACAATTACAAGACATCAGCTGGACAATTCAGGGCTTCATTCAGGAGGTCAGGGCACGTCAACCCAGCATTGCACCTGTGATGTCACACAGCAGAAATGGCTTTTAATAGGATTCTGAATCCTATTAAAATCAAATAAACCCTTGTTTATATCAACTCATTAGTAATGGCAATATTCAGCCTCACCATTTGGGTCTCCCTAGAAGAGGCTGATGCACAAGGGAAGTCAGAACTAGATGGACACACCAGCTTTTGCAGGGCTAAACAGCAGGTCTAACCCATTAGGAAGGCGAGTCAGCTTCTCAGATTCCAAGAATCCCTGGTTACAAAAGGATAGGCAATTGGAAGTCCATTCCACCCATCCCAAATCTCCTTTCAACCAGCCCTTACTTTCTTTAAGTGATCTTCAGCTGCATGGTCTGAATAATATACAAAGAGCAGTTCAGGGTCTTGCAGTTCAATGGAGAAGCCCTTGGATTAGAATATATGGAAGTGAGAAAGTTTCCCAGTCAAGGTCTTTTTAAATGGCGCGTGATCAACCGTGCCACAAGCACAGGTTTGGTTTCACTCTGCTTGGGGGTTTGTCAGGTCCATTGCCATTCCACGTCATGGCACATTAAAAGTCCCACTGTCTCACAAAACCTTTGTTTAAAAGCACTTAAAACCACTGAGAAGAACATAACAAAGTAAAAATATGCAGATAAGCCATCTGGCCCATCATGCTTGTGTGGTTACCAATACCTAGAGGTCCATGGTTTGGGGGTTAATGGGACATAACTGCTTCCCAGTTAAGAACACTAAAACTAATTACTGAAACTAAACCATATTTTAAAAAAAATCTCAAACAATATTACAAATGCCCATTTGATCCCATAAACTCATTTGATCCCAGTTTGTAGTTTTATGAGATTCCCATACTGTAAATGTTTCCATGAGTTAAGATTTCACTTAAGCTTGCCTTCCTTCCGTGTCTCCCTGTGTTACTTAACTACGGGATGTACTGTAATGTATAAGATTCATTCCCTTTGTGAGTAAGATTGTCTGCCTGTTCGCCAACCTTTGCCCCTGGTCAGCTCTCTGACAGCATCTGTGCAAGAGAGGAGCAGAGCCTAGATCTTAAAGACAATTTTCACAGCAGGGTATGACTCAGGCATGGATCTGTCCGGGCTGGCAGCAATCTCACCAGTCCTTACAGAAAGGGAAAGAGACTGTTCCAGGCCGGTCCAGCACTGGCATCAGGAAACAGCACACTGACACTGACGTATCTGTGCATAGATCCGAGACCAAGATGAGAGCAGAGCATTGAATACATCCATTTTCTTTCCATGTTAATAAGAGTTAAAAGACATTTGTTCGCAGACGTTTTTCCCAGTCTGGTAACCCCATCCCAAGGTTAAGCAAGGATAAACCTCTAGGAGCTGGCTTTTAAATAAAACGGAATACGGAGAGCCTCCCCACCCTTTGAAAAATACAAAGTGTGCGATGCCTGAAAAGAAAGGTGACTCCATTCCAGGCTGCTTTGTTATCTCTTCCATCAAGTATAGAATATCTAGAACTGCTCCAGCTTATTAGGGAAGGTTGTGTTATCATTCAGCAGTCAATGCATCATTTATTTCATCAGCAGGGTTCGCATATGTTCTAGGAAAATATTTTCGCCTAGAATAGTCGTGGAAAATGGAGCAACGTTATAAAGTCCTATTAGATATAATCATATCTAAAATATTGCCAGAACACTATATTACGAGAAGGATCAAAGCATGAGAGTATTTTACTGTTTAACACAGGAATTATACCTGGTACAACGTAAATTAACGACAATCTTAATTCCTTAAAGCGTGCGGTTTTTTTTAAAGAACTGAGGATCAGTCTGATGCGAGCAATGATGACCTGATGACCTGAGGTCACGCAGTTTAATGGAATTACTTTTGGATATTTTGTGATGAAACCCATATCATTCAAGGTCTTGTGAATTTGGTACAGAGTTTTGTAGCCTCCAGCAGACTGTGTGTGTCCCCTCTCTCTCTCTCTCAGAAGGAGGGGATTAACCAGGAGGAGGCGCTGCTGGAGACGGGCTCTCTCAGCCCCTACCCTGAGATCGCCGAGCTGCAGCGGGCCAAGGAGCCCTACGAGCGCCTCTGGGGGGCAGCACTGAGCTTCACCACACAGTACCAGCGCTGGCTGTCCACTCCCCTGGCCCTCCTCAACGCGCAGGAGGTGCAGGAGCAGGTGAGGCACCAGGAGAGCGAAGTTTCCGACTTCGGCCTTCTCCAGAGTTAAAAAGATGGTTTTACTTGCTCCTTGTCTGGGTCACAGGGAGACTGCAGGAGGGAGCCAGCTCTGCACTTTACAGCTCAAGGGTTTTAAGCGGGTCTGCCTGAAAATTCACCACTGCTCTTTGGAATATATTGCACACAGTTTTCTTTCACAGTCGGACGGTAATGCAGTAAATGGTGAAAATGTAAAACGCCAGACAACTTGCTGTCATCAGAATATGGGATGTTTAAACATTTCATTTGGTTTGCTGATCTCTAGTGGCAAAAGCTGGGTAATAATGTGATCTACTGTGCCCTCCCTGTTTTCTTTTATTAACTCGTCACACTGTAATCATGACTTGCGATACTGTACATGATTCAGACGTGGGGTTTTGTTCCCGTGAGAGAAGTCTTTTACTTCTCTTGCCTTTTTCCATCAAGATGAGAACGGTTTGCATGAATGCAGTGGAAAATGCATTTGATTGCCTAAATAGACTCTGGAAACAGTCTGGGAATACTGAGAGGATTTATTTTGCAGATTTTTTTTTATTACACCGTGACTCCTCTAAAGGAGACCAGAGAAGAAACCAGAGAATAATAAAGAAATGTTTGAAGTAAAACGGATGTAAGAACATGAGAAGAGTGACAAACGAGAGGAAGCCATTCAGCCCATCTTGCCTGTTTGGTAGACCGTCGTTAACTGATCCAAGAATCTCATGTACAGTAGGTGTTTCTTGAAAGAACCCAGGGTAATAGCTTCTCAAATATGGCTGGGTAGCTTGTTCCACACTCCCACAACCCACTGGGTAAAGAAATGCCTCCTATTCTCAGCTTTCAATGCACTTCCATATAGTTTACTTTGACATACCCTGGTTCATGTTTCATAGTTCCTTCTGAATGAGTCCGCTGGATGAGCTTTGTCAGACCCTTTGAGAATCTTGAATGCTTGCGTCAGGTTCAAGACGGAAATGGTACAGCTCCTCCAGCCTGCAAGTGTAGAACATAAAACAATAAGTGTAGAGCATGAATGAGACCGGAATGATTCCAGTAGGGCAATATCATTTATGTAACGTGTTGACCAGAACTAATACACAGTATTATAAATGAGATCCTTTCTACGATGGAGGATGAAAATATCAACATCAACACCCGAGCCTTTCTTAAAAATTTTACTTTAAGCTTAAACTCAACTCATTTCCGATTTTGTAGTTATGGTTATTTTTTCTGCATGTAACTCTCAGTCTGCGTTGTATCTGCCAGGTGTTAGCAAGGTCCCAAATTCTATATAGAAATGTTAGGATGAATTGGGAATTATCTGCGAACTTGACTCGTTTTCTCACTAGAATCTACAGTTAGGGAGCGGAAAGGTCCTCATACAGATCCCTGTATTGTGTGTGCCATTGCAAAGAGAAACTGTGCTCGTCCTGTCTTTGGCCAAAGCCTAGACATGTTCATTCACTTCATTCTGGTAGTATGCAAAGCCCTGCTGTGTGTACAGTAAATGAGCACAGAGACAGTGTGCGGGCAAAACAACCAAGGTACTACCCAGTAGCTTAGCTTTGCCTGTAATGCAGGGCCTGATGCAGACGCTCAGGCAGGAGACTGGTATTCAAACTACAGCTGCAGGGGTGCTGTAGAAAACCTGGAGGTGTCCCTGCTTGCTGAGCAGCAGAGTGTTGTGTTACATTCCCTACGCAGCTGAGCACGTTGTTTTCTGTCTCCTGCGACACCCGGAGAGCTGCCACAGCTCCGTGGCTCATTTTTCCTTCTCCTCCGAGACTGGGGGGGCTTACAGCCTGTCCCGGATAATTTGTGGAGCTCAGTTACTATTGTTTGTATTAATGAGCTGCGTTGTGGAAAAAGGAGCACGGAAGCACCGGCACATCAGCAGAATGAAGTCTCCAGGCGCGAGGGCAGCCTCTTCCCAGCACGCTGCGGGGACACAGTGGAGGATCAGGATACAGAAAGGGCAGCCCAGAGGCAATAAATTAAGACGGAGCTCCCGGTTTATTATTTGTTTGAATATGAAAATTGCTAATGAATGGGGAATTTAACCGAAGAGGCTGTGTGTCCTTGTGTGACATTGAGCACAGCGTAGGGAGCATGCATGTTCATCAGGCTGAGTCTGTAAACGTTGCACCAGGCGATCGCAGGGTCTGAGTCCGACGCGGGCCAGCTTACTTGCTGCCAAGTCTCAGCTGGGCTTGGAATGAGGTGCGAAAAACAGAGCCCTGCAACTTGGTTAGTTTTGATGATGTGTGATATACAGTACATTCCTCGAAATTAGCTACGCCTATACAGTATGTTCTGCAACAAGCTGCAGTGACAGAGTATCCCGATATACATCGAAATAATGGAATAATATTGAAAGACGTCCACATTTTTAAATGACACGTCACATGTCACCTACAGCACCAAAGTATTCCACCCCTTTTTAATGATGTCCCAAAACTGTATAGACATTTCTGGACAGATTCCATTCAACTAACTGTTTGACTTCTCATGTCATTTTATGCGCCTGAACTAGTCTAGCTTAGCCCCGGCAAAGGAGGTGAATGCTTTTCAAATAGCCGTATTTAAATTTGGGATTTCCACTCCGCAGTTTTTGTTGGCATTTCTCTTCTTTCACCCTCAAAAGTGCTCAGTTTGAGCCTTCGCGTTTTTATTCAAACTATTCCTTTTGAAAAATGTGTGCGTCATTTATAGATCAACACAATGGGTGAGCAGTGGAAGGGCGTGAGTATTTTGCGAGCCACTCTATAGGTCTCTTTGCTGCTCTGTTCTGCTGCATTTACTGGAGAGCACTGTGAGCAAAACAGGAAAATAATCATCGGATTGCCGTAGCAACAACCTCCTCCACCCCACCTCAGTGAAGGGTGCGGTGTTGATTAACACATTACAGACCCGACTCAGCAGAGGGATCAATACCATCTTATATTAGTCCCTATATTAGTTTATTATGAGAAGCAGAACGAGCCTGCAGACTGAGCTGTGGAGAAGGCCAGTGGCTTTGTAGGAGTGGTGCGTGTGCTTTGTCTGCTTCCTTTAGCTCCCACTTATCCTGCTGCTACTGTGCCATTGTCCTTGAGACTCACACCTCTGACCCTCTGTTCCTGAGCGTCTGGAGTCCTTCCTTAGTTGTTCCCAGACATTCTAGAATCTCCGTGGTAAAGCTTTGGAATTTTAAGTGTATAATTGAGGCCTTTGTCAGTGGGTCTCAGTACCAGTAGGAATTTAGCTTGAATTGAAGGAATTTTAATTTGAGGACGTGTACTTTAGTCATGTGCTGTGCCCTAGCTGTCCTCTGCTACAGCTTTAAGCAATCCTAGCAAGTCTGTTCCATTCCACAGCAAATCTGCGTCTTCCAATGAATGGATAATTATAGAAGCAGCTGTATCGGTGAAGCAATCTAAAGCTGATTAATTAAATCAGGTGCCGATGGAATTGGAGGCCTGCAAAGAGATGGAATGAAAAGCATCAAGCTCTGCCTCCACTTTAGTGTTATAAACTGACTGTAAAGCACCAGAAAGGCGCTATATGGAGCCTAAATTTCGCCCCTTGATTGATGCAGTGAGTGATTGAGTGGCTGCCCGAAGGACTGGTTTATCGGCCATGTAGCTCTGTAGGAGTGTCTCATGTCCCATATGTCTCCTGGTCTCAGGTGCAGGAGCTGTGGCGGACCAGCTACCGGCTGACGAAGGAGCTGCACCCCCCAGAGCTCCACGGCCCCCTGAAAGCTGCCACCTCCATCAAGACCAGGCTGGACAAGTTCCGGACGCACCTGCCCCTCATCAGTGCCCTCTGTGCCCCGGGCATCAAGCAGCGCCACTGGGACCTCATGAGCGAGAAGGTAAGGGCAGGGCAGGGAGAGAGCGGAGGGTAATGTACAGGTGCCCTCTTCGAGAAGGCATCTTGGCACGTGTTTTTATTTTACTTCTATGGTTGTATAGTGCATTTACTGCAATAGGCTGTTAACGAAGCATGAGGCACAAAATTCAAGCATTCATGTCTTGTGAGACACTTCTGTGGAATATGAAGGCATTATGAAGGGAAGCTCAGTACTTGAGGGGTACCGGTGTCAACAGCAAGCAGAAGTATCTGGACCTCATGGTAGGGACTGAAGACCAAGGAGACTGTTTAATCAAGATGAACATCTCCATCTGATTTTTTTTCTTTCTGCATGAGATGGAAGTGCTTGCTTGCAGCTCTGTTGGGGAAGGCTGTAACTCCTGGAATAGACATCTTGGCAGCTTTAAGACGAAACTAAACTGGCTTCAGAAAACCCTGAGGTCGTACGTTGGCTCATTTTGACTCCTCACTGATGGCGAAAACAAAATCATATGGAGATTATTTATCTGAAAAACCCAATGCAATCGTACACCATTTTGCTGTACATTAGGAAAGTGCTGAAATAATGTTGGCGTTCCACAATGCAGTTATTCCAAAATATCAGGTTAAAATCATTTTAGGAGAGGAATTCCTTATCTGACACTCTGTGACATAAAACTTCTCATGCGTGCTTGAGGTGAAAAGGAAAGTACGAGTCTATTTGCATCCGCAATCTAATGTTCATTTAAGGAAACCTTCTTCCTTATTAACATGTTTGGCAAGCTGTAGCTGTAGAGGGATCTGCTCATCTGACACTCGGTGACCAGGGTCTGATATAGATGTAGATTTATATGAAAAAGGGTGTAGATGTAAAAGGAAGTCCTAAAAAAAATACAATCATATGCCATTTTGAAAAACAACGGCTGAAAATGAGAAAAATGACTGAATTAGGAAGTACAATAGTACTGTCACTTCAAAATAGCAAGTTAAAAAAAAAATAGAAAAGGAATTACTTACTGTATATCACTATCTGGGACAAAAATCTGTTCATACCTGCTTGAGGTGAATAGGAGAGAATCTAATCTGTTTATCCCAGTCTCTGGCTTGTTCACAATCTAACGTTCATTTCAGGAAATCTGTGTGTCTCTTCTTCCTTATTAACATCCTAATTATTATTTCTTCTTCCATGTTAAAATGTTTGACAAGATGTAGCAGCTGTCTTAAACTACTGCTGTGGTGACGGTAGTGCTGGAGAACATGAAAGTCGGATTTTCAAATCATGACACTGGCGTTAATGAACAGGTCGTTAATTAGCATTGATCTTGACGTTTCACTTTCAGTATGGTTTTACTTATACTTGACGTGAAGAAATCACATCTCCAAAAGTAATCGTGCTCATGCAGTTGGCGGTCAACGATATTTGACATGTTGGTGCTGGCTTTTTTTGAGGAGAGCAGTGCGAGTTGTCTTTCATTTGTTTCTGCACTCCATGTGCTCCAGGCAGTTTTTATTAACGCAAGTGTATCAGCACTCTGTGCTTTGGTTTAAAAAAAAATATATAATTATGTTGCTAGGAGCAGCAAGAGTATCTGCAAAATCTTTGCAGTTGCATTATTAGTGCCAGGTATAGTAATGAAATTTGCATGTGCAGGTGATCAAATGTGTTCTTGGCTTTTCCCATTGCAATCTATACATGAAGCGAGAAAGGCTGTCAGAAGAGCACACCAGGAATATGGTCGTTTGCTTTAGGTACAGCCCTCAGTGGCTCGGATCTGCGTGGCGCCTTTTCTCCTGCGCAGCACAGCTGGAGGTGGAAAAGGGAAGGGAAGGAGAAGGAGAAGCACCATCTATCCTCTTCCCGAGACAGCTGTTCCAGAGGCGACATGTCATTGACTTGTATTCTCCATGCACTTTCCTGGAAGTGCAGAGAAAATGTTCATACAGGCCAATAAGTATTCAGCAGCTGCTTCTGACAATGTGTCGATTATTTATCATGGCGGACCAGCTGAGCTGAGTAAGAGAGTAAAATCCATTCGAAACAGAGGAATTTCTATAACATTTAAAATCAGAATGATGAATTGCTGTTGTGTGGCTGGTGTCAAGGGTCAACATGATATTGTATGCCGGCTGTTATAATGCTATCTTTTGGAGGAGTGTGTAGTTGTCACAAGGCTCAGTGTACAAGAGCCTGTTCTAGACTGTGATGTTTCCCCCTTGAGACATAGACAGTGCAGAATCCTGCTGCAGCAGGAGACCTGGTCTTCTGGCAGAGCTGAGTTCACTGCTGTCTAGGGAGCAGTGTTATCTGGCTCTGAGCCCAAGGGCAGCCTGGTGAAATCTCAGTAGAGCAGAGCTGAGTCTGTCACATAGTTCCTGATAGCACCTCCTTGCTGTGACAGTAAGGCACTCCGAGAGGCGTGATCATCCATTTTCTAATGAGCTTTTACAAGCACTAGACATGTCATTGAAATCATGGCTGTAGTGGGTATTAACAGGAGGCTGTTATTTATGCTTCAACTGGAGTTTTAATTAGCATTCACAGTGATTTTGTCAATAACTGACGTTATTAGCATAATTAATCCTTAGAAAGAGACGAGGCTGACCACTCGTTCTCTGAAGAGAGACCATACTGAAAAATAAACTATTATACATAAGGACAATGCCTTAATCTTTACAGTTTCACAGATTGACAGCTACTCTCATCAGTGGATAATGTCAAGGTGCTGCTGGCAGGTCTGATAGTCCTGCTAATAACAAGAATTAGGTGAACACAAGACTGTTTAACTGTTTATACTGAAATCCTCCTATTTCTTGCAAGAACCACAGGAATCTGGAATCTATTCCTGGTGGGGGCCATGTTAATACCTACTCCTGGCAAAGATTGTGTTAATCCAGTAACCATTTCTGGTACAGGATGTGTTAAACCATGACCGTTTAGAGTGTTTTCATTAGCAATTGCCAAATTCTATGCCACTCACCAGACTAGATGTGATCTCCGGAAGAAATTGGTAACTGGATTATCAGACACTGATTAATCCAATAATCCATGATCTAATGCGTTTGAAGTATGACACAATGTTAAGTCTTGACATTTGTTGTTATCCATAGGTTAAAAAAATTAGACCCCCTTGAAAATAGTTTATACTGTTTGAAAATAGTTGAAATAGTTTAAAATAGTTTGTTCTATTTTTCAAGAATTTAATTTGATCCTCTTTTAATTCAGTTTCATGTTCTATCCACTGTAGACCAAATAATCAAAAGTACAGATCCAGTGTATGAAAATAGGAGGTTTTGGTCTGAACAGCACAGATAAATTAATTTAGGAGTTGCTGTATTGAAGTATCAGTATTAAAAACGTAGAAGGATCTCCATTATTCTGAAATGAAAATGAAAGTCATGAATCCCAAATTAATGGCTTTTATACATCAGCATTCTAGCTTTCTGCTGATATGTATGTGTGCAATCAGGAACCTTGCTTAGTTGTATAATTACAGTTAGCCTGTGGTAACTTTGAAAATAATGATCTTGTTTCCTACAAGTTTTAAGACTAGTAGAACCATCAATGCAGATTTGCGCTTCCAGTGCAGAGATCTGTCTCGTCCCAGTGTTTGTCATGAATGCATCTACAGACATGAATTCTGAAGGAAGTTGGTTGTACTGCAAACAGTTGAAACCCCAATGAACAGGTCTGATGGCAACATACTGTATACTAACATGAGGTTAGTGCTCCTACTGTATATAAGATAAATAGACTATCTCTGTCCAGAGGTACAGAGAGATGAGGCTCAAAGCCAGCCCTCAGTGAGAAAGCCTGATGCCAACCTCCCCACTCCCACTGTAGATATGACCCCAGCAATTTGGCATTTGGGTTTACCTGGGGCTGTGAAAAAAGAGAGCCAGTTTCTCTGTGCAGTATTTGCTACGCAACCTTCTGCATCAACACCTTATCAGAAAGTGCAAGCCTTCTGTTATTTCTAATATCTTACAAACATAACATGACATCACTTTATAAGCCCTATACAGTTTCTTGCTTTAGGAATTTTCACATACCCCAGCTTGCTCTCCATGAGACACACAGACAAGGAGAGAAGCTTGGGGTCAGAGCTCAGGGTCAGCCATTGTACAGCACCCCTGGTGCAGTTGGGGTTAAGGGCCTTGCTCAGGGGCCCAACGGAGTAGGATTCCTCTGCCGGCTGCGGGATTTGAACCAGCAACCTTCCAGCCACAGGTGCAGATCCTTAGCCACAGAGCCACCACTTCTCCCCAAGATGATGTAATAACACGGAGCACTGGAACTCGGGGTGGTATTAAAGTGAGGATGGTCCTGATTGGGCATGCACACGCAGTAGAGGTAAAACTGTTTCTTTACCTGCAGTGCAAACCATGTTGCCTCATGTGTTAACATCTTGTAACTGGCCCAGTCAGCTGCAGCAGGCCTTCCACCAGATTGCAGGGATCCAAATGTCAGTATACAGAGAGCAAAACAGTCAGATCCCCGACAGAACTGGCATTCAGAGCAGTGATTGGACTTCAAGATGTAAAGTGGAAGTAGGTGTCCCCTGAAGGAAATCTTCGAGTGGGACAGAGATCATGCAAACAAGCCCCCACCCCCCGAGATTGAAATAAAATGGATGAAAAGCAACAAAATGAGACACCAGCCCAAGTCCACCAGCATATAAAGAGACCAGATCACGAAAGCAGCTCACAGGAAAACAGTCCTGCTACACTTCTGCCTGAATGCAAGAACTTACATTGTTAAACAAAGTGAGAAGAAGAGAAAAGAATCTGTTATACAGTATTTGACACACTGTATTTATATGAAACGTATATTCCGATACATTCCTAATAACTTTTGTGACCCCATTTCTCAGTTTAATTTAAAACTTCCACACCAGCAATGCAACTTTCACGTTTTTGAATTAACTTACTATCCATTATTTATGATGTTTACCGATAGGCCTAAACTCTTTAATAACATGAAAGTGCTGCTCTGAAGTTTGCAGCTTAAAGTACATCATAGAT